GGGGGGGGGGGGGGGGGGGGCAGTCCTTGTCAGGGGATCAAAATAGCAACAAGTTTCTTGTCGCCGTTAGGTGCTCAATCATCATCATGAAAAGCCTGGGTAGAGTGAGCAGGGTGGGTGGGTGGCAGTGGTTAGGTGATGAAAAAAGAAGCCGCGGCCGCAGCAGAAACATGACGAGCCAACGCTACCGTTGTGTGGTCGTCTCGCGCGGATGTCCAAAGCAGGGGCAAGGCTTGGATCCTTTTGCGGGTTAACCGAGAAAGAACAAACAACCGCGGGTTTTTGCTCAAATCCGCACCCAACCCAACCCAACCAGGCGGCGAGCTCGCAGACTGGCACTGCTGTTGAACCGGTGGTAGGCTTTTACGGTCGTTTCGGCTACATGTAGCCTCCTCGTTTACGCAAGCTTCTAACACGAAGACGTTGCCCGCAGACCCAACATTCGGGTAAACTAAACAAATACCACGTATTATCCCTCCACGATAAAAAATTACAGCGGAGGCGGCCACAAGCTGAATTCATTGTTCTTATCATCAATACCAGACTCTTAGCAGCTGTGGAGATGAATTTGTGGTGTCGTCAGTAAGACAGAACTAAACACAAGCAACAACAGCAGCAGCGGTATATGGGGCAACAGCAGCAGCAGTTACTAACCGTTTTAGGTTGGGCATCCTCGGGGTGGGCGTTACCGATGTGATCCACCAAGAGGCCCGTCTGCGCCAGGTGCGGCGGCTGCTGCGTGAAGGCATCCACCACGTTGTGCCGCTCATCGCGGAGGAGCTCCCGGTAGTCGGACGTGAAGTACTGCTCCAGGGGAACCTGCCATGCATCCATCAATCCATCGACAATTTTCCGTCCCTCGCGTGTCAAGCTTGGAGAAGAAAAAAAAACACGGTTCGGAGTAAATAACCCCCCAAGAGCTAGCTCACAATAGGATAGGGGAACAATCTTGTCGTGCGCTGCGATCTGGGCACCTGGCTCGGTGCGGTCGCCGTTCTGTTCGGGGTATAACCCCAAAGAGGTCACGACAGGACAGGGGGAGAACTACTGCTGTGTCGTGCGGTGCCATCTGGGTACCTGACTCTTGCTCTAATCTGCTATCAAATACTGCTGTTGAATTTCCAGCTGGATATCGGGTATGACGTGCGTGCCGTTCACCAACTCCATGACGCAAACTGAGGTGTTAGGTGGTGCTTGTATGTCCCACGCACCACACGACGCACACACCATGCTGAACAAGCCCGCCCCCCTTGACGCCACGAAACGCCACCACCTAAAAAGGTTGCCTTCGGAAGCTAGGTACGCAAGAGGAGCCACCGAGGCCAACACGGCCCGAAACCGCCTAAACACCCTGAACAAAAAAAACACACACAGTGCGGTGCGAAACAAACCGCTCACACGCAACCCGATCTTCGAACTTGAGTACAAGGGAGATACGGTAGATTCCCCAGTTTCATCGGTCCCCTCTTGGTTTTCTCCGGCAAACAATGCGTTATTTTGTATATTACCAGGTAATTTTTTTCGGTCACCTTCTTTCCTGCGACCGTCTCGTCCGTTCGATGCCCGGTGCCGTACAATGTCCATCTCCCGACCTGCTCGCACCACCGCCGGCGCCGCCGCATATACCACGAAGGAGGATAGGGAACACACGCGAGGATAGGGAACAGCAGTCCGGCAGCGGTCACCCTCCACAAATAGCCATCCTCGCGCCAGAAAAGGCACCGCCCGCCGCCGCCCCCCTCTCGCAACACAAACCCGTACCACTTTGCACCCGCGGACGGCGATCTTCCAAGCCAACAACAAATACCCCCCCCTCCTGGTTCAACGTAGCCTGGGCCGGCGAAAACCTATGCTCCGTCCCGGCATTGTAGGGATGCGAGGTCTACGGTCTAACGACTACGGTACGTAAGTACCCCGCCACTGCTGCACCCCTTCCCCCCTCTCTCAACCCAGGAGGTCTCCACCACAGCAGCAGCGCACCCCCCCCCTCTCTCAACCAGGAGCCCCCGACCGCCGCCCCCCCGCCCCCCCCATACACAACAACTCACCACGTCCGGGACGGCGATAGAGTTCCCGTCGGGAGAGAACACCCCGTCGAGCACCGCGACCGACATGCCGTGGTGGAGCTGCTCCGACTGGGGCCCCGCGGCCAGGATGTTCTCGAACGCCCGAACCCGCCGCCCCCCCCCCCGCCCCACGTCCCACGTGCACACCGTCCCCTCGGCACCGACCGAGGCAAGCCGCGTCGGGTCGTAGGGGTGGGGGATGAGCGCCGAGACCGTGTTGGCGTGGGCGTCCTTGACGGTGTGGAGAAGGGCCCCCGTCTCGCTGCTCCACACCTGAGGCACAGTAGTCGTAAGGGTGGGTATGGGTCGCTTCTAACCCTGGTCCGAGTCTTTTGCTTGTCGAGCAATGAGTACTTACTTGTTCGCATGTCTGTTGGTATTTTTACTGGTGACAGCTAATGCCGTTGTAACAGTGTAGCCTTACACACGAATATGCGCACCAGAACGGACCTCCCTGCCCACTCCCCGAAAGAGTAAGCGCAAGCCAACCCACGCGCACACGCGCTCGCTGGCCAAGCGCGCATAGAAATATATTAATACACCCGCGGACTTTACACCCAAAAGCGCCATGTACGCAATGTCGTTCGTACCGCCGAGGACTGGGGTTGACGTTTTCCCCTCGGCCATTGTGGGCAGTCGATGCTACCAAACTTCAAAAACACACGTGCGGCTGACGACTTTTTCATTAGTCAGCCGGCTAGCGCGGGTCGATGCCAACAAACAAAACACACACCGACACACGGAGGGGGAGAGCCCGATGACGTGTGCCGGCGTTACCTACTCCGCCACAAAGGACTGCCATTATGTCTCTTTCCTTCGGCGCCTGCCAAGAACGCATCGCCGTCGACGCTCACCACTAATACAACACCCACCTTGAACTGAGACGTGGCCTCTTCTTGCGACCGAGACGCCGCAGCACCGGTGAGCGCGGGAGCCTTCTCCGTGGTGACGATGAAGTCGTCGTCGCAGCTCCAGCAGGCGTCGTCCAGCGTGGATTTCTTGCCAGCCCCGCCCGCGCGCGCGCGGCCGCCGCCCCGCGCCCTTCCCGCCGCAGCGGTATCCTGCCGGCAAACCTGCGAGTCGCGGAGCGGGGTGACGGTAAGTGGGGGTTACGTTGATGGCTGCGGGGGCGGGGGGGGGCACACAATGTGAGGATGGACACGCAGCACACCGTGTACTCTTGAGAAGTCTCCGTCTTTGTTCTCCGCGCTATCAAGAGCATCGTTTACCGTTCCGACTGACACCCTGTGGCACCTTGTATCCCGGGCAAGGGCCGGACGGCTCCCCTCAACAACTCGGTTGTACAGACTAAGCTTGGACCACACGTACACTCAATACCAATAGGGTCACGATGAGCCAACGTCTCACGCGGAAACACAGTGAAGAGTAACCGAAATCACGGAGTCAGGGACAACAAACCGCCGCGAGAATAAAAAACCACACCGGCGACGACATCACGCGCGGAAACAGCTCTGAACTTGCAAAATCCAACAACCGATAGCCGTTACCGACGGCAATAGACTCGTCTACTCTAATAGCATTACAGGCGGTCTATTAATAATTTTATCACAATAGCATACGCGGTGTATTGCCCAGGTGTAAAAACTCATTTCTCCAGACCTTGAGCACGACGTGCTTCACGTTCGAGAACCGCGGCCCCCAGCTGTACACGCGGGCGGTCCCGTCCTCCATGGACGCCGTGAGGATTCGGTCCCCTAGACCACTGAAGCGGGCGTCGGTAATGCCGCTGACATGGCCTGTCGTGGAAGACGATGTATTGCGCGATCGACTGCTGTCAAACCTTTCAGCAGGTCGATCCGGCGCTGGTACAACGACTGTAGTATACCTTACGTGGGGCTAAAAATCAATAGATTGAACCTTCAAAAGCTAGAATAACAAACGTTTCAAAAGAAAGCAAGCGATGCCAATATGCTGGCGTGTGGTTGTTGTCTTTGAGCTGAAAGGCGCGTTCTGTTCAGCCCTTGCGACACCTTACTTCAGCCGGCAAGGCGCATTCTCGTCGGTCGCCACGACCAGCGCGACACGCGAGGCAAGCAAAGCAAGACAGGCAGTAGCGGTTCTCTGCAGGAGATACAATAGCCTTCTTTGGGTAGGACAAGGTCAAGACTCCAAGCAGCGGTTCACTCTCCGCTAACGTAACAACGCCAGGTCTCCGGATCCGGACCTAGCTCCAAGCCATACGCGCACGCCCGAACGAACGAACTCGCCAACAACGAACGGTTCCGCCGCTTGTTTTCCGCCACGCACGACACGGCAACCATCCCCGGAAACACACACACAGCAAAAGCAGCCATGAGAGAGAGAGAGACTGACTCCACACAAGCCTCACCGAACAGCTTGGTGGCCAGGCGAACTTCGAGGACTCCGCCTTCATCATTACCACCGTCACCGCCACCGCCACCGCGGCTTGCCGAGCGTCCCCGCCGCTCCCTTCCCTCTCCGACGGCCGCCGGAGTGGCAGGAGGAGGAGGGGGCCGCGGGGGGGGCGGCGCTTGACCGGGCCCGAGTTCACCACCCCACGGTCCATTCACAGCAGCGCCCACGCCCGATCCGCCTTCCCAAGGAGCCAGTTGCGGCTGCAGAGCAGCAGAACCGCCGCCACCGGCCGCCACCGCCGCCGCCGCCGCTGCCCCGTTGGCGCCTCCGCTCTCTCCGCCCGCCAGCCCGAACGCCGCCGCCGCCGCCGCCGCCGCCGCTCCACTCTCTGGGACAGCGTCGGGCGGGATCACCGCCGGAGGCGGGACCGCCGGCGGCACCTCTGCTTGCGCCCCGCCTCCGCTTGCCACTGGAACCGGCCCCGTCGCCGCCGCTACGGTCGGGGGAATGCTCCGGCGGGGAGCCTCGCTCCTGTACACCTCGCCGCGGCCGATGGTGTCGCGGCCGGTGCGGCGGGTGTTGTGCTTGCCAGTGCCCCAGGCGGCGTCGTCGTCGGAGTCGCCGTAGGCCCACACGCGGACGGCGCCGTCGCTGCAGCCGGCGGCGATGAGGTTGCCCGCCGGGCTGACCGAGAGGCACATGACCGGGATCATGCCCCCCTGCTCGTTGGTGTGCGGGAGGACTATCGGCACGACGTCCTCCGTCGCCAAGCTGTTTTTTTTTTGGGGGGGGGTGGAACCGATTGGATCGAGAGCGCGCGGGGGGGGGAGGGGGTACTCATGTTTTGCATTCCTCAGTTGTTAGACCATCGACCGGGGGGGGAGCAAGCAAGGACGAACATGGTTTGTTGAAGCGGAGAAATCGATCGCACGATGTACGGATGTGACAAGCACCGCTGCTGCAGTGCAGCGTGGGTGTGAAAGGCCATTGTTCACCACAGCATGCGCTGCTACTCGCAAAGCAAGAGGTGCAAAGCCGACACGCTACGCTACGCATGGCACCAAAGCTAACGAGGGCACAAGAACCGCAGCGAAAGACCAACGACCCATCGACAAGCACCGGGGGCACCGCCAACATGAATAAACCAAGTGGCAGCCCGTTGCATAACGCCGTCTACCCCGGTCTGCAGCAGCATACGGCTCAGCAGGAACTACGCACGCGATGTTCACACGAACTAACGGCGCTCAATGGCTTAACAAAGTGACGATACACGCTAGGCGAACAAGCACGAGGGACAGACCCCACTCCCATCCCCGGCGCACCGTGCCTAAAAAAGGGGCGCGTACGGTGAAACGCATACTTAAGCCAAGCAAACAACTTCCTCTCCCTATTATCCCCCCTTCACCTGCAAAGGCTACCTGGGACGAGCAAAAAAGGAACAATGCAACAACGCCCTCTCCCTACCCCCCTCCCTACCTGAGGCAAGCAAAAAAAGGCCTTTCCCTACCATACCCCCCCCTTACCTGTCCTGGCCCCTAAGGTCCCACACCCGGCACGTGCCGTCTTCGGAAGCCGACATGGCCACGCTGTCCCCCGGCGCGAACCGCACCAGGTTGACGGCGGCGGTGTGCCCCCGCAGCACCGTAAGCGTCGCCCCCGTGCGAGGGTCCCAGACCCGCATGTTGCGGTCGTCGGAGGAGGTGACGAGCATCGAGTTGTCCGGGCTCACGTCCATGTCCGTGATCACGCTCGCGTGCCCCCGGAGGCAGAGCATCAGGCGGCCGGAGGTCACCGACCAGACCTTCCGGAAGGGGGTGGGGGTGGGGGGGTTGGGATCAAGGGTTGGGATAGGGAACAGCCGGGGCATGCCGACTGGGGTGTTCCTTGTACGTAACCTCCGTCCCCCCCCCCAGTACACATCACCCGCGTACCCAGCCCTTCAAAGGGTCTGCCAAAACCGGTAGCAGAACATACTCAAAGTGACAGCAACCTCGTGTACCGCCGTTCTACATAGCAGACAAGAACAAAAGCAGGAGAGACGCACTCTCTACTGAAAACGAACCACGGACGGTACAATTACATACCTTGACGAGCGCGTCGTCCGCCCCCGTGAAGATGTACTGCCCCGTGCGGTCGAACTTGATGCAGAACACCGGGTGCACCCCGTGCCCGTTGGCCGTGATGAGGGGCCGCATGCGGTCGTCGAGCAGCCGCGAAGAGGCCCCACGGAGCGGAACGCGCCCCGCGATCCGGCCGCCGCCGAAGCGCGCGCCGCCCGCCCTCCTGTTGGACAGTATCGTCGGCACTGCCTGACGGGGGGGGGGGAGGAAACACAAGACGGCGGGGAGCAAAACGAATTTGTGGCGTGGAGGGAGTGGAGCAAGAACGAATCAAAGGGTGGCGGCGCAGATTGAGGTTTTGTGAGCGTGTGCGGTTGAGTTGAGTTGGGGTTGGGCTGGTGGGATCGAGCCATTTGATGTCCCGTGGAAAAAAAATTACGGCGGGGTGTTGTGGTTGCTATTGTCTTCCTTGATGACATGTTCCGAGGGGAGACATAGGAGGAACATCGACCGGGTGCTAGATACCATTTTTTGTAGCGGTACATAACGTAGTCCCGCTTGGAACAGAACGATGGGGTTCCATGCAACCGAGAGTCTTGACGCCTCGCACAGCATCGAGTACACCTAGTACACGTACGGCGCAGCATCCGGACAAAAACCAAGAACCAAGCAGAAACTTTCTAGCCCCCCCATCCCTACCGCCGAACATGTCAGCAAACAAAGATAGGGACAGAGCGATTGAGCTGTACATTGGGACGCTTGGGAGACAAACCAACCCAAACTCCCGGCAGGAATCCCAAAGAAAAAACACCCATAAAAAGTAACACAAGACACCTCCCGGGTACACATCACGGTCTACATGGACGAACGAGGTGGGGTCATGCTCAGAGAGGAAGGCCATACAACAGGCAGCTCCTTCCTTCTTTGCCCCCCCTCTACTGTGTCAAGTAAAAAAAAAGGCTTCTAGCAAACACACGATGTATGAAAATCGAAAATGCCGGAACAGAAAACACATATAACAATCGATGTTCGGTCATTTTTTCGTTTACCAAAAACGACTCCATAAACCGGCTCAAGATGTGTCAGGCTCAATCAAGAGAAAAATGCAGGATCCAACCGACCTTGCCGGCGTAGCGAGTGAGAGAGTTGTGCATCGCGCCTCGCTGTCTCGCCTCGGCAAGCGCGGCGTCTTTCTCGTCCTCAGCCAGCGTCACTTCCTCGGGCAACACCACCTCTCGTGCCAGCAGCTCCTCTCGCTGTCGTCTCAAGGCTAGCCTTCTCGGGAAATTATTGTGCGGCAACAGCAGTTGGCAGCAAATGCAACAGCAGCGGTGGTAAGGTTAAACCAGAGGGGAGGGGCGTAGATGGAGATTGTGACAACGTAACAGCAGCAACAGCAGCAGTGGTAAGGGTAGAAACAGGGGGGGGGACGCCGATGGAGATGATGACAAGGAAGGGTACGGGTAGGTCGTAACGAAGAAATCAGATCTCGAAATCACATTTCGACATAAGAACACAAGAGTCGGATCTACCCAAATCCGAACTGAAACGGCCTGTGTGTCTTAACGGTAGATCTGCCGAATGGAAACGAATCTCTGCAGTCCACCGCGAACAACCCGAGAGGTCCGCCGCTTGCCAACTACCAGATTGCTGTCGTGACGTGGCCACACCACATGGGGGGCTATCGCTCCCGAGAAGCACACACCAAACGCGTACATGGCCTCTGTGCGGTACTGACACGATGTCTATGCATGTGAGACTTTGAATCGAGCCTCGTCCGACGGAAAGCCACCAATTCGTCTGTGCATTTGAGGTTCGACAACCCACGCGAGAATGCCCCACAGACCAACACACCCCACACACGTTTCTTTTCGGCGCCAGTCACGTGCAACAACGATGCGCACCCTCCCATTGGGTTGGCTTTGTATACTCTCTCTCTCCTCTGTGATCGGCGGTGGATGGAGTTCGTGTGGATAGGGGTAGGTGGGCACGCGCCGTGCATGCGAGTCGACCGCTAATGTTCGAAGTTGGTTACGGTTCACCCACATCGGGATCTGATCAAATTATTTCACCATTTTTCAAGTCCCGATTTAGGTTTGGGCCGCCCTGTGTAAGTCCTAAAGAGGAGACCGGCGGAAGAACTTTCTGCCCAATCAAAAACAGAGTTCTTTGGATCTTCCGGTCTTATAACCAAATCTGAATGTGATTTCGTGATCTGATTTCTTCGTTAAGACCTACCCTAAGGGGGTACGGGAACGCTGAACCGCGGAGGGGGGGCGCGAATCACGAGGAAATTCTGCTGTAGGTCGATTTTTCATCTTTCAGTGTCGTCGAGAATATACACCAGTGAGCAGGCACACGGCAGAAATCATGGTACCATGCAACCACAAAAAAGGTGTATGTTGGTGAAGCGTCTATTTAATGGTAGCTGAAGAGACTCTTTGTTGTGAAACGCGTGTGACGAAACAGATCCAGCCACCATGACCAAAAAAAGGGTCACTAATCTGGCTGGGCAAGGCATGCCTTCGGCATCAAAGCCGTCACGTCGTCCCAGCCGAAAAAAAAACACCCTAAATTTCCCGCCAGTGGGTCGGAGAATTTTCCTTCTCGCACCTCGTGAGCTCCGCCTGGCTCTCCTGGCCGGGCACCAGCGCCGCCCGGCAACGCCCCCGCGTGGCAGAACCCGCCGCGCTCGCGATTGCGCGGGCCTCGCTGGCGGCATCGAGCTCCAGCGCCTCGAGCTTGCTCTTGACGGTCGCCAGATCGCTGTAAACCTTCCTGGCGCTGGCCCGCACGCGCACGCTCTCGATGCACGCTTCGACCACGCGGGTGGCGCAGCGCGTGCGGGCTCTCTGTGTGTAGATGTTCGAAGAAACCACCCCCCACCGACAACCAGCAAGCATTCCAGACAAGCAACAGAAACGAGTGTAGTGACGGGTCAATACCAGCAAGTATTTCAAGAGAAGCAGCCGACAGAAGTAGTGGCGAGGTTAACATCGTTTTGCGTCATCAGGAATCACAGACCCAAGCAAACATGTGTGACTGTGACAGCAAGAGAGACGATGCCGTACAGCAGTAGGACACCCCTTTACCCTCCTTGATACTGGTACAGGTATAAACCCGTTCCGAAGGTAGGCAAACGCGGTCGGTCCCTCTACGTACTTTTTTGGCGACGTTGAATGAACAGGCGGGCGGTGTGGGATGGGAACGTATTCATTCGATACCACGGGCTTGGCGACAACGCCGCCGCCGTCGACACGGCTCGAGTATTGTAGCGAAGCGCGCTACTACAAGTAGCGACAACACACAAAATGTTGGTCATGCCCACAAAAAAACTATGTACGCGCATATGTTCATATATAATGGAACTCTGTCCTTCACAAGGGGTATTGTGCGAATTTGGCAACTTCCACGCCCTCTCTCGCTGACCCAAAGACTGGCTTCCGGTGATTCGCGGAGATGACTCGAGAACCTGCCCCCAAGACACAGCAAAGGCTGCATATTGTCATCGGGTCAGCCGGTACCGCGGTCTTGCTACTATAATCGAAAATGTAGGGACGAGGTTTGTAAGCAATTCTCTACCACGATTGCTACTCGTTGTTCAACCAGTGGGGGTGTCGATGGTAACTACAGAAGGCACATGCGCTCCATCACGCTCAGACTGTACATGAGGCGTCCAGTCTCCTTTCCATAACGGTCCGGGGGACCCGCGAAGTAGAAAACGTCGGAAAAACAACGATATTTGCCCCGCGGCTATCCATCTACTGCTGTACAAGCGCAAGGGGCGATGCTAGTTGACACGCACACACAAGCGCGCACGCACCTCGTTCGCCTCCCGGTCTTCGCTGAAGGGCTCTACCCTGGACAGCAAAGACCGCGACACCCCCGGCCCCGTCAGCGGAGGAGGCTGCTCCTGTACGACGATCGCCGTACCGCTGCTGCTGCCGCCCCCTGCAGCATCGCCGCTGCCGCCGCCGCCGCCGCCGCTAGTGCTGATATCCGTCGCAGCAGCAACCGCTTGTTGCTGCCGCAGGTATTGCGCCGTTACCCGAGCCAGTTGGTCGGCGGGCAAGGCCTGGTGCCGCCGCTGGACGTCGTCGAAGCTCGCGGGTCGGGCGTGACCTTCCCAGTTGTAGGCAGTACCCAGAAGGTTTTTCTCTCGCTGGCAGAGAAGGAGGCAAACAAACGCACGAGATAAAGGGGCCGCCGGCCACACGGGAGCCGTCGAAGCGGGGGGAGGGACAGATGGATATCAGGCGGCCTAAGCGTAATTTGGGAAAGATGGCTGGATGTATGTACAGGCATCTAGGTCGTTCACCGAGTTGTGTTGAATGCATGGCCCAATTTTTGAAAACGAACGCGGAGGATGGGGGTGGTGGGGCAAAACGGCCATATGGTGTATGTTCCACACACAAACAGCTGACGAGCGCCAATCACACATCAAACAAGCAAACGGGCATGGGTCCAGTGTGCCCATGTTCCACAGCAGCAGCGCAGAACTAGTCTCGAACCGTACCAGCTCTTGCCGTAGCGCCGCCGCCGCGCGAGAACACTGGGAGGCGTTGGTGAGGAAGTTAGCGATCAAGAAGTAGAGCTCCGCCGACTCCTCCGACACCGGGCCCGCCAGTTCCGGCGTAGCTGCGGCTGGCTCTGCCGTTTCTGGTCCATCTGCCGCCTCGCCGGGATCCACTAACTGATCCATGCTTGCGATTGGTGGCTCTTTCTGCTGTACACCTGACAGCTGAGGAGCAGACAGAGCGAGAGCGGCACCGCACTCTCTTGAGGCTCCGTACACTGCAACTGGGGACTGCTATACGAGGGGACCCGTGGATCACCTACAGGGGGACCCGTGGATCACCGCGAGAAACATCAAATCCAAAACCTGGGGCTGGTGGGGCTGGCTGTGCTGCCTTCCCACATCGTCGTTCGCACTCCTCTGTGCCTACCGAGATCCGAGTCAGAGAGAGAGAGAGAGAGAGAGAGAGAGAGAGAGAGAGAGAGAGAGAGAGAGAGAGAGAGAGAGCGAGATAGAGCGAGCCTCGATTGTCAGCCCATTTCTTGAAGTTGAGGTCGGACGACCTTCCACGTACCGCGCCCAACAATCATCCTAATTTAATATTTATTTATTTTTTTCTCCCATCATTGGATTCTGTCGTCTGCCGCTCTGTGTTGGACCTCAAAAAATCCCTTCTTCTTGAACGCATATCTAGCTACTGCTGTGTCGCTGGCTGTGCAGTGTTTGAATGCTCGAACTTCAGTGTTTCCTCCTGGTTCCCTCGTGCCTATGCACCCACGTATACTCACACGAACAGCAGCGAGAAGAAGAGGTCTTGGCTATTGTACCAGAAACAAGAGGTACCAGAAACACGAGCGACTGACAGCAGCAGCCTAGACTACTTACAACGTACGCGCACGGGACTAAGGAAAAAATGGATCTTTTCGGCGCAGCGCATGACCGCTCGAATGAAACAAACACACAGCAGCGGTATCTGTTAAAAATCCGGAGAGTAGCGTAGACTCCCCCGTGACGCTGCTCGGTCGCAGGGTCCTAGATCGTGGCCTATAGAAGCATTTATTTTGTGTTTTCCACCGCACTAAGACACTGACTGATGTCTTCTCATTGATTGGTAATAAAGCCGCGGTTAGCCCGGTCGATGCTAATAACAAACACACACACACACAACTCCTTTCTTGTCGGGACAATGGCAGCTTGTAGGTGCCAAATGGAACCGTTGTGTATCTGGACATACATCTGTTGCACAGCCGCCTCGCCCCCCTCTATCTAGAGGAGACTCGGTGATGATGTTAAAGCACAACATCGCCGTGTGCTCTGCAAAAGCAGAAAATATTCTACATGTAGACTGGCATCATGTGCCTTACTCGAAGATCCTCTTCTTGATTAGGACAACCCTCACAGCCTCACAGATTATTCTCCCTGTGATGGAACTGAGCTGTACATACACTCAAAAAACACACACACACAAGAAAAAACTAAAAAAGGCCTGAAAAGTGACGGCGCGTTCTGCAGATGATGTCTAGCAACAACATGATCCGTCCGTGCCAAAAACCTGCGGACTAGGAAACGACTACTACTCCGGAGTATTTGAAAACAAACTATGGCGGAGAGATTTTCCATGCATGCATGTGCTTGATGCGGCTTCACCCGGTGCCTCCACCCTCTACTATAAGTACGAGGGATTCACTGCTCGCTCTGCGTGCCCGCGGTCTTTTGTGCCCGAAAAAAGAGTACGTACGGCGGACAAGGTAGCAGGTGGAAACGTGCTCTTGCCGCTTTCGCCAAAGATCGGGATCTTGACAAATACGTCTACAAAGAAATATCACAAAGGGGCCAGGGAGCTCTGCCCCATTTTCCCGTGGGCGCCTTGTTCACACTGCTACCAGCTTCTGTGTATACGTCATCCTCGAAAATACTTCCCGACCAAGGTTCCACCCTTACGCAGTCGGCGGTGATCGATCGCTGGCGCCGCGTGCGTTTGTCCTCCCACGGACAGGTCCCCCGGTTAGTATTGTTCAGCAGTAGTTTTACAATGTTCCATCTCCGTCTCTGCATCTCTCTTTCTCCCATTCCCTTTCTCCCTCCTCTCTGGTTGAACACGCTTAAAAATAATTGCACGCGTGTGCCAAGAGTGACTAAATAAAATAAATCAACTCTCGCCAGCATCCATCGTTCGTCGACAATCTACCTACATCGCGGCGCCCATCCTCAATTTCGTGCCACAGGTGTGCTTCGCCATCTCCGGGAAGAAGGTGGAGGAAAGGCGGGGGCACGGGAAGGAGGCGGAGCATCGGACAGATACAGAAAACACCAACGACTCCCACCCTCACTCTTTTGTTCTGGCTCGCGGCCGCGCGGCCCTCTGCTCTTGGCACGCCGGTTGGAGCACAGGAATGCGCGTCACGGAAGACCATTTCAACACGGGAGAGTGTGTCCCGTCCACGCGGGCGAGCTCATCGATGCACGCGGCACACCTGGAGGACAGGCACCAACGCTGCTGTGCGGTCTTCGACGAGGTGGACGAAGGCAGACATTTTCAGCAGGGACTTTCTGGTCACCCAGCGCGCAAGGCTGCTGGCGGGGAACAAAGCGCGAATTTTATGCCGCCTACCCAGCAATGCGGCGGTCAACAACAGCATCACCAACAGCACACCTACTACCATCCGCTTGCAGGTTCTTCCGAGAAGGGGGCGGGGGCTAGTGGAGGCTATTGTGCTGCTACGTCCGCCGCCCAGGGTAAGTTACTTTTTCCTTATAACCTGGCGGTAAATTTCGCTCGATCGATATCGAAATCCAACTTTGTTTCGCCACGGGGCGTGGTCTCCTGTGTGTGTATGCGTGTATTTCGCCTTTTCAGCTGCCGATGGCACCCGATGCCCCGGTCGGGCAGGCATGCTTAATCCGTAGGCATACTGGCTCCATCCTGTGATCTACCTTGGTAATAACCACTCGCAGCACAAGCAAACGGGCCGAGGTTTTGGATGCGCCCGCTCCCACGAACATTTCCAAACCATTCTTTTTTCGGCCTCTCCTACCGCGCACTAAAGGTCAACGTCTCTTTCATTTGTATACTGCATATGCACCCACCACCTGAATCCTCCAGATGCTGGAAGAGACTTTCCCGTTTTCCAGCGCTCTCGCAGCGGATGGGACCAGACGTCGGGCGGGGTGTCGCACTCCAACGACCTTGGCATGCCGCTGCGCAGGGCGCTGTCTCAAGGAGCAGGTCTCGACGAAGGAACCGTCCGTCCGATGCCGAGAGGCAGCGCGTTTCTTGGCGGCCAGCAACATGGATGGGAGACCGTCGAGGAGAAACAGCAAGCCGACGGCGGTGGCGGCGGCGGCGGCGGGGGTCGCGGCGGGGTCGGGCGCTCTGCCCCCGGCTACTTTACTGCTCTCGCAAGAGAGAATTCGTTTGAGCGTCGCCAGAGCGGCAGCCGGCCGAGAATCTCATCAGCGCAGCAACAGCAGCCGCAGAAGCAGCAGCAGGCAGACAGGAACATCCCCAACAGCAGCAGCAGCAACAGGGGCGAGGGGGAATTTCGGAAGGTTCTCGAGCAGCCCATGGAACGGATCTCTTCGCCCGCATCATCCTTCCTAGCAGGAGTACCCTGCCATTGGGAAGGGGCGGGGAGGACGGCTCCGCCGGTGGCAGCAGGGAGGGTTGCGAGGGGGCATGAACATGTCATCGGCGACGACTTTTTGACTGGCGGCGCCACGTATCCTACTGAGCAGCAGCAGCATCTCTCACGCCGCCAGCAGTGTCACCCCAGCGGCTCCAACGGAGAAGACGCAACTACCGCCGCAGCGCTGATCGGCGAAAGCGGCGACGGGTGGCACTATCGCTCGGAGATGCGGGGCATGACTTCTCCGGTCCCTGCTCACCCCCAACACCGGCCTCCCCACCACAGGGCCTTGTGCCCTCTCGAGTCGTCGTCGTCGTCGTCTTCTTCGCCGCCGCTATCCTTCCACCGGCAGCGGATGTCCTCTTCCACACAACGCCTGCAGCCGACCTTCAGCTCCCGCTCGGGCAGGACTGTGCACAGCACCTTCAGCCTGTCGTCCTCGGGAGAGGGGTACGACGACGTCTGCGAGCAGCAGCTGCGGGTCGCGCTGGGGACGAGGCCTTCGGTGTCGAACGTGACCGGCCTGGTGGTGCCGGCGCAAGACGTCGGCGGCACCGACCGCGCGGACGGCCTCGTGGTCCGAGAGGAATCGCTGCTCTCCAAGAGCTCCCGCGCCCACCACGAGGCGGTGGCGTTCATGAACGCCAGCGGGAGGTGGCAGGGGGCCGACCACGGCCGGAGCGACAGCAGCAGCATCAGCACCGTCTCCGGCAGCAGCAGCAGCGGGAGCTTCGCTGTGGAGGGCTTCAACGGCCGCCTGGGGCAGCAGAACCAGCCGCTGCAGCCGCCGCAGCAGAACGAGACCGCCAACGGTGGCGGAGGCGGTGCCTTTAACGTGGCCCGGCGGGCGCCGGCTCCATACCACGGCCAACGCCACCTCCACCACCACTACCACCACAATCGGATTGACCGCCGCCCGGCCGTCTCCACCGTCTCCGCTGGTAGGGATGGTGGCGTTGGCCACGCGTTCGGCCGCCGCGTGGCTGCCAACAACATGTCAAACATGGAGCCGCTGCCCGCCACGGTCGGCAGTAAACACCGGCACATCGACAACGGGGGGGGGGTCTCGGAGAGCGGGAGCTGCCCGACGCTTGGAAGGGCCGACAGTTTTTCTCTCTCCGCCGCCGACTATACCTGCACCAAGAGCGGCATCGACGATGGAAACCCCATGGCGGCGGCGGCGGCGGCGGCGATGCATTCGAGGTCTCCGGCGTTCGGACCCTCGTCGTCGACGGTACTGCAGCCGCCCAACAACCCGCTGGAGTGGTTGCAAAACTTCAACCTCCGCCAGTCAAGGAAGGGGAGCGGTAGCGACGGAAACGACGAAGGCACCAACACGCCGCGCACGTCTCGCTCGAGCTCGGCGTCGTCCTCCCCCCCTTGCCTAGGCAGCCGCGGCGGCTCCGCGCTGGCGGTACCGCGGGCGGGCTCGGCGGCGGCGGCGGCGGCGGCGGGAGCGTGCCCGGCCGCGGACTGTCCGGCGAACGGCGATTGCCTGCCTGGCACCACCCCGGACACGCTGGTGTACGAAGTGAGGTTCAAGCGGGCCACCAGGACGTTCCTGTCGGAGGAGAACCTCGACCCCAGGAGTATCTCGTGCGGCACCGTCGTGAAGGTGAGTTCAGCTAGTTTTTGTGTCAGGAACCCGAGATAAGATCATTGCTTTGCTGTTGCCGCTAGATGCAGTTGAGGGAAAACGTTGTGCTTGGAGTGCTGGCCAGAGCTTGTGCGATGTGTCCTTGCCGTTGAATCTGTGCTATGCTACATTGCACATCAACACCGGCGTCCGGGGGTAGCTGCGTACCAGGTGTTTGTTTCGACAAAGCTTCTTTCCCCCCCTGTCCCCGCTGTGTCTTTTCTTTGCGGTGGCCACCACCGTAGGTGGAGGCCGACCGCGGGGAGGACCTAGGCACCGTCCACCGCAGCCTGCCGCTGTCGGAGTACCTGAACGCCTTGCGGGAGGAAAAGATGGCGAAGGCCGCCAAGATTGCCGAGAACGGCGGCGGAGGGGGCAGCGGCGGGGAAGGCTCGGAGAGCAAGAAGAAGCGGGGCAAGGCCAAGAAGGCTGAGGTAAGCAATATGGTCACCATCTGTGCGGGGCAGGAATGCGGACACATGAAGAGCAGTCGAGGCGGGGCGGGGGGGGGGGCAATACTTGCCGATGAGTCGTTTGGCCCGGCCATCAGAGACGAATATAGGATTCCTTTACTTCACTCTTGGAAGACAAACCCCTCCCTGGCTTTTCTCTTGCCGTTTGGTTTTCGTCACATGCTAAACAAACCCGTGTTCCTTTCGCTGACATCCCCTTCTTCTTTCACCTGCCTGCGTTCGGCACGATCGATGTCTCTACGGACAGCGGTCGTTTGTAAGCGCTAGCGTGATAGTGTTTGACTATGCTGGTTCGCTCTCAAACAGAGCGAAATTCGCAATATGTTGCCACAAACAAGGACTCCGACTTTGCGTTGCCCACCGTGCCTCTACGAACCACGTCTCTTCCTTGACCTCCAGAACACAGTGCAACCCACACACGCGCGTGGATGTCAGCTGATTTAGGGCGGGACAAGTTGGGGGGGGGGGGGCAAACCAACAACTAAACCAGGCAGGGCGAGCGGGGGGAGGCGTTTCTCTGATCGGTTGCTCTGGTAATTAGGAAGGTTAAACTGGACCTGTCAAGGACGCAAATAGGAGGGCACGGGGGGGACCAACGATTGCGATTTCCACCACCGATACGCTAGAGATCTCAGGTTCTCCCCGGGTGCTGGCTGTCTATTCGTGGTGACATATTTTGACGTGCCCTTAACCCCGTACTTTGGCGTGCCCTTAGCCTCGGCTTCGCGGCAAACCCGAGCCCCCCCCCCCCCAAAAAAAAATCAAAATGCGGAAACTGCAACCCATCCCCCCCCGACAATTGTTCTTTGTACATACACCACGTAAAAAACAACACAGGTTTCTAGTATGTAAACGGACTGAAACGACCTGGTGTTGAAATTTTTGTTTATGGAACAATAGCAGCCACGCAAGGGCAACGACAACGATGAATATCTTGTCACGGGTGGTACGCGCTGTATGCATAGCAGGCGGTGAAACCGTGGTCGCCATGCTGTACATGCCCGCATGAGCCACACGCGTTTCATTTCTTCCGGCACCAGGACGCCTGGACACCGGTTTCACGCTCTTTACGCGCTTTGCCCGTGGAAATCAACGTTAAGGCGTTGGTGCTTCTTTCTGACGATGGCCGGCACTGCGATCGCAATGCCCGCAATCTTGCCACATCCAAGCATCGCCCCCCCCCCCCCCTCTCCTTTATCAGGCGGACGGGGAACGAAACGGCCTCAAGCAGCAGCAGCAACAACAGCAGCAGCAGAGGAAAAAAGAAGAAGAGGCTCAGCAGGAGGCATGCCCCGTGAAGGCCATCAAGAGGATTCTGCGCCCGGCCAACACGGAGGAGCTCCAGCAGCTACGCGAGAAGGTAAGGGAAAAATGGGGGTCAAACATGTGTTTTTTTTTTTCATCTCCACTTCTTTTGCAGACTCGCCACGAAGAAGTCGCTTTATTCGTGCTTGAGTATTCCCGCTCTGGCACCGCCGCCTTCCTTGCTCGCTGTCGTCTCCCCACGCGTATCTAGCCTCGTGGAATGGATGTCGAGACTACGGAGAATTTTCTTCGTGGCGTTTAGTATTGATTTTCTGGGCCCTTCAAGAAGCCGGAAGAACGCCGGTGGTTTTGGGACCGTTCCGTGTTCTTTTTTTTTTTAAGACTTAAGCAAACTTGTTCTTTGGTGCTTTATTATTGTTCATGTTGTATCCTTTGGGGGGATAATTTGCTTGTGACCACGGAAGTTGTCTGCGCCAGTTGAACCAGTGCGGATACTAACTAGAAGGTACGGAGCGGAGGTTGGAACAGGTCTTTCAATGCCAAGAAAAATAAGGTGCGATTGATTTTCAAGCCGTGCTTTCCACACACACCCAAATTCTTCACGATATTCTTTCGGATAATTTTGATCTTCGGCAAAGACTGCTGCTGCTGCTGCGAAAAATTTGCTTGTTGAGAGTGATCTTGGAGTTCAAGGAGGTGACATTCAATTTTTTTTTCATTAACGAAACTCCTTTTTTGTTGATCCTCGAACTTGAAGAACCCGTGTGAAACTCCCTTGTTGCGCATGACGAGCGACATTTTCTCTCGATCTTACAACATGTATTGTTCTCCGTGAAGAAAATGCGTGGTCTGTTGTCAGTCCACGCGTACATCACCAACCGCCCGGCACTTCATGGTGTTTTTCGTGTTTGGAATAGATGATACGGTGTTCGCTCTCGGTACCCCTCTCCTCAGCGTGGCGTTTGCGAAAAAAAAATGTACAATGTTTACTCTTTTTCCCGCTCGGCTGCTGTTGGAAGGAAATACTTGGTTGTACGGTGCGCGTACACCGCTGATGGTCTGTGGTGACATACAATGTTCATTCCACACCACGAATTGTTTTTGCCACAATTTAGTTGTTGGTGTTGTCGTCGTCGGCACTGTCTTTGCGCAAAAAGAAAAGGCTGATATCTGCCCAGAACTTTCTGACAACCTTAGTGTTCCTAGTCCAATTGACGGAGGCATTCTGTGGTCACGTTAGACCCTGAAAAATTGGTGCACATGTTCTTTGGGTGGCAGCACTACTTTTCACGGTCGATCGACATTCTGATATTTTTTTTCTTCTTTCAATGGTTACCCAGGGTCCTGTTCCTAGAACATAAATCTCGATTTCAAAAGGTTGTACCCTGCACGCCAATTTTTCAGAGTCCGGCTCATCAAACGGCGGGTTTATTTGCCGTTGCGACGAAAGTTGAACGCTTGGAAATCTTCCAAAAGAAAGAGAGTTCGAGTTGACCCAACCCGTCGTGTATTCGAAATATGCAATGGACTAAGTGAGCAGCCACGGGGAAAATCTGTGGTTTCGTTTTTGTGGAACATTTGCTACCGGCCTCAAGGGGGGGCGTGCGGGGGGATCCTGGAACGCCGGTTAACTCCGCTGGAAATATTATGCCTTCAAAATTGTAGCTTCTTATGGCCAGTTATCCCTTGCACTTGGCCAAGGTTGGAGACATCGATCACGGTATGCATAGATGATGTGAATATTGACTGGACTGTCAGGGCCATCGTTGCATGATTCTTTTTGTGCAGCTCCAAAATGATGATGATGCAAACACATGCCGAAACGAGGAGGAAATGAAAAATGAAAATAGTCCTATGAAGTAGCTTTTAAGAAGGCACGCAACACAGGGGGAAAAAAAGGTGAGCATCAAATCATGTGATTACCTCCCTCTTGTGTGGTCCCGGCTGGTGCGTCAAACAAATACGGAAGGTGTAGACCTGAACCAATACAAGTGGATGGGACGAAAACGCACACATTGTGAACTAACTCATTTGTGTGCCAAATTTTCAGGCACAGAGTCACACATCATACAAAACTTTTAATCTTCGCTTTGTTGTCCTTTGCGGCGAATTCTCTGGACTAGAGTAGGGGGGACGATGAAGCACCACAAAGGCAAAGATTGGTAGACGTCAATGAATTCAACGATATTCAACATGAAAACCTCGCGCGGTTTTTACGCCCGTGTACGTTGTGTAAGTGCGAAACGCTCGTGTGGACCCGCCTTCTTTTTTGTTCCGGATATCCGGGGTCCTGGACTGCCTACGTACAGGAAGTGAGATTATTACGAAAAGACCAAGAGGGCTCGCGGATCCGTTGGTTGTACTACTACCCCCCCCCCCCCCGCCCCGGCCATTTTTTCGGGCGCTTAATCCAGTTTGTTCAATGCGTTTATTGTTTAAGCTTCAATATGTTCATAGTTTATTGTTTAAGCTTCAATATGTTCATAGTAAACTCTATTTTTCCTTATTATATAGGATTTAG